ACCAAATGGCTCTGACACACAGGCTGCAGAAGGCAAGCAGCCAGCATTCACAAAATGCAAGTCCCATGCCCACAGGGAAGGTATCAGCACTACCCTGGACACAGGGCTAACCCGGGTTTTAGCCCACTTCTGCGGAAAGGCAGGGAAGGGAGAGAGGTATGAGCCACTCCAGCAAAACTTGGTAACAGTACAGACAAAATACATCACGGGAGAGATTCCAGAGAGTCCCGGAAATGGAGTCAGAGAGCCTACAGCTTCATGTAGGATGAACTTCTTCTGTTTGGTAATCACCTCTTCTGCATTTATTACTAAACTATAACAGGAGATAAAATACATTCATTCACTTATACAATCAACTGCTTTTCTTTGGCCTTTTCTTCAAAGAATCAAAGAGAAGAGAAGCCAACACAGTACATGTTTTTATAAGATGATTTAAAAATACTTGCTTCAAGCAAAATTCAAAGTATTTCCTTTTTCTTTTATTATCATCAAAAAACTGGACTCAGGAAACTCTGGCTGGCTGGCAGAATCCCAAAACCAATATACTCTAAAACTGCTCTAACTGCACTATAAACAAGGTGGGGGAGGGGGAAGGCTAAATGCTAAGAAATCTGTAGACCTTTAAAAAGGGAAGAGAAGAAAATAGAGAAAGATTGCAGAGACACACGCCCTTACCTGAGGATCATGCTGGTATTCTTGCCCCGGCAGCTTGCAAAGAGGGTTGTTCTGGTCCCCTAGATGGTGTGGATGGTTGTGCTGCCCTTCCATGGTATCATACCAAGCTCTGCCTCACAGTCCTGCTGGAGGGAAAAGAGAGAGGAGTCTCATCACCGGCCACCCAGTGCGGAAAGCACAAAACTCCTTCGAGGGGTGTGCCAACACGCGGCTGTACATCGAGACGGCACAAACGGATTGCTCCCCTTTCCTCCCCCGGACCGACTCACGCACACAATTCTCAAAGAAGGAAAACCCTTCTCTGCCACCAGCCCCACGGGAGCTCGGCTCCCCGCACGCAGACCAGAACGCACCCGCTGCCGCCTGCAAGCTGGGAGGACGCAGCAACAGGTCAAAGCCACCCTTGCGCTCCCAAGATTACAACACAAAAATGCCAGTATCACAGACATCACTGGTACCGCTTCACAACAAGCCAAACAGCAGAAGAGGGGCTGACTTGGTCAGTGGGACCCTATCCACGAGAGGTGGAACAGCGGCGAGCACGGCTTCCCCTACACCCCCCCAGCCCAGATGATCCCCAGCGGCACCAGGCACCTCGAGCACAACCCAAGAAAGGTTAGCACATTTCCATTTGCAGAACAAGAGTGACAAGAAGTCCCACCAGACGGTTGTAGCTTTCTTCGTCCAGGGACAACCTAAAAGTGCAGCTTTACCCACGCTCTTTCTTCCCCACCCCCAAAATTAGAAGCTTTCATGCAGGCTGGTAAGCCACAGGAAGCAGTAGCTAGAAACCGTATTAGATTCAATCAGATCAAAGTATTATTCTAGGAACAAACAAACAAGGGAGAATTCCATGAATTTATTTGTTTCATTTTTACCTGCAGCAATTACTAAGCGCAGTTGTCCGGCAGAATTTCCTACCAAAATTACAGAAGTTAAAAGGACGTGGTGTTGGAGAAGAGAATCTAGCACAAGTTATCAGACACAGAGCTCACTGTAAGGACACATCCACCAGCACTGTTTGCAGCGATCCTTTATCATCATTCCCAAAATTATCCTTTACCCTACAGAGACCATTTCAGTCTCCCCTCCCTTTCTGAAGCGCAAAGATCTCATCACAGAATCACAGAATAGTAGGGGTTGGAAGGGACCTCTGTGGGTCATCTAGTCCAACCCTCCTGCCGAAGCAGGGTCAGTTCTGAGTCACCCACACACAAAACTGAGCCTTCCTGGATGCTGGCAGCACAGCCGAAGAGCTGTGAAACCCAGCACCCGTAACACATCCCATCTCGGGTCTACCTGGAATCCAGTCATTTCACAGTACGACAAGATCAGTTTTATTTTGAGCAGTATTGTAAACCCGAGCAACAGCTTGTGGGTAACAGAAAGGAAGAGGAGACGCAAGTACTTGGGAGAGAGGGCTCAAAAAAGAGGTTATCATCAACCGTAACACGAACCAGTTGGAAGGAATCGGCAGTGTGGCAGTCAGTTTCCATTTTTTAGAATTAAATACTAATTTTAAAAAAAGGTAACATTTGAAAGAGAGATTCCCACAATGGCTGAACGAGGCACACAACACACTTCCCAACCTGGATGTACCAGACTGGTCACTCCTTTAGCAGGATGCTGGACATCCGAACGCCCCACGCCCGAGGCGCAGCAGTACGGGCACGGCTGCTCTCGACCGCCCGTCGCCACCGCAGAAACCCCGTGTTCCTCCGAGCGCGG